AAAAAAAAAGGCCAGCTAGGCTTATAGTGTCTTTCCTTAGTGGCAGGACCCCAAACAGAAGGCATGATGGGTGTTAGTTAAAATGACTCGACTTTCTCCAAACCCTCCCAGCTTCAAGGTTCTACTATCTCCCAGCCTCCACCTTCTACGACCCCCGATATCCACGCTGGCAAAACTACCCACGAAATCCCTATCAGTCTGCCCTACAACACAGCAGCCACCTCGAACAAGCACACTCAGACTGTGGTTCCTCCGCATCGGGTGCCTCGACGCTAGGCACGTCAAGTTCAGGCCACTCAGCCTTCTCCTAAATCTCCACCAATAACCTCTCAAATTCCTCCCGTGCTCCTAGCCTTAGAAGTCCTATCTATGATTTTGACGTGCCGCGTGTAGCGCGCGTTTTCGAGTCTCCCTCAACTGTCGACCAGCTTGGAACTCGAATCAATAGGGCAACAAGCTAATTACCTCCACGTGAAAGCAATCTCCATGTCTGTCTTCGAGCGTCTAGAAACTCGTTGCCAGCGCTTCATTAGCTATCTATCTTGAAGCACGATCACCTATTACAAATGCATATATCCCATATCTGACGTGGAACCTCAGAGCGTACCCTTTACCGCGTACGGGCGTAGATGTGATAGAATCACCTACCCACGTCATGGATAGGCTGATTCTTGTCTTCAGACATGTCGTACACTGTTTATCGAGATTCTTATGCTAGCTTTCTCGGGACCATCACGGCATTCACACTATAGAACTAGGGTAAGGACTCTCGCCTTCAACACGCTTGTTACGAAGTCTGAGCTTCAGTTTCGGACCTAATTACAGTCTGATCAAACTGTTTGCTCATGCACATCAAAGAAGTGCTGTACAAGTGGGTGATAGGTGGCATTCCCATACGCCGAGCCACCATATGTCAGATAGCCCTCATCAACAGGGTCTGACTGCGCTATGATAGCCGCCTGGTCACCGAAAGCAAATACCGTTTGCATTCCCATTATCATATGTTGAAGAATGTGGCAATGCATCATCCACACGCCGGCATCCGTAACCCGAATACGCCAAGCCCTCCAGCCTGAAGGCGTGAGAGGCATCGTTTCGGTTCTGTACGCATATAGCACGGTCGTGTCCCGAGTTACCGGATGAGTTCCGTTCAAACGCTTCTCATTCTCCGTCGAGTTGTACAACCCATCGCCGCCGCCAATGTCATAGAAATGTCTCCCATGTCCATGGAAGGGGTGGTTCTCAATATCGCCTGTATTAACAGCACCTTGGTTTTGCCAGACAATCTCGAGGACTTCATTCATCTTGGCGGGGAAAAGGCGGGTTTGGTTGTCAAACCCGTAGCCGCTGGCAATCGCCCGCTTGTACGAGGCGTTGAGGTCCAGTTTACCCGTGTACACATCGACCAGGTATGGCGACTTGGGGAATGTCACCATCCAGTCGTACCCGCTCTGGAGCCAGACGATATGAGTACTAACATTCTGGTGAACGTTAATGATAATACGTCGGGTTACTTCCGTGGAAGTTGGGAAGTTGAGATCCGGGTAGTACGGCTCCAAGGTGTAGTCCATCCAGCCATAAGTGATGTTCGCCACAGGGAGGGGAGGAGTGACAGGGACAGTCGTCAAATCAGTCGCGATGTGAGATGGGTATTCCAAAACCGCAAAATTTGTCAGGACAGTTGGCCGGCCCAGGGTGGTGAGCTGGAAGTAGAATTGTCGGGACTTCGCCTTTCGCAGCTCGGCTTCGGTCTTGGCCTTCAAAATCACACTATACCGTTGGCCGGTGGAAATCTGCAAGTAACTCGTCTTCACTGGCTTGGTGTAATGACCATCCGCTTCGATAATCTCGAATACGTCGTGGCTCTCGATGGCCAAAGAGACGAAAGACAGGGCCGTTTCCCCAATGAATCGCAGACGATAAGTCTTCCCGGGTTTGACGCTAATAGCAGCCAGCTTGCATGACCCAGTAGCATTGGTGGCCAGTCGGCCTTGGCCGTTCACCAAGATGGCGCCAGTCTCCCCACTCCATGTGAAGTTGGCTGAGGTGAGGCCGTCCTCGATTTCCTCATCCGTCTTCGCGAAGAAATCCGACAAAGCAATGATGCGCTCTTCGTCGTACTTGTATGGCGAGGGTTGGGCCGATTCCACAATAAGTGCGCCTGCGGCAGTGACGGCCTGGAAGCCAACGTGTGAATGGTAGAAGTACGTGCCAGCATAACCGACCTCAGGGCGGACTTCATAGTCAAAGAAGTGGCCAGGGGCGATAGGCCATTGGCTGGCCATGGGAGTACCATCGGAGAAGGGTGCGGTAAAAGCAGAAAGGCCATGCCAATGCTATTATCATTGTGAGCGTTATTGTATAGCCTAGAGAGGGAAAGCCTGTCAAGTACCATTGTGACATTCGAATCCTCCATGTCGTTATAAACACGAATCCAGCTCACTTTGTCTTCCTGGAGACGCAACTCGGGTCCCGGGGAGGACCCGTTCACCAGAACTGAGTATCGTTCCATGCATGCTTGGCTATAATTTTGAGCAGTCACTCGGAGAATATGGTCGGGCTGGAAGGAGTTGTCATGACGAACGAGGAGTCCTTGAGTCGCAGTCACCAACCCTAGGGCCAGGCAGAGGGTAGGCAATAGGCCACGCATTTTTGGAAAGCATCCCTTCATTAGAGCAAGTGAGGATAGCTCTGGATCTGAAAGGAAGAAAACAAGAAATGCGAGGAAGATCAACTTCCTTATATTGATCCTTATGCCATTGATTCAGCAGCTGTATCACATTATATGAAAGCTCGAGACTCGAGACGTCAAAAATACATTAAATTTTTTACGCTAGTACAAACTTGTATAGGGAGGGAGGGTGTGGAAGTTAGGGGGTGGTCAAGTAATGTGGGGGTCCAAATTCCTTCAAAATGATAGAAGTTACCGTTACCCTAGGCTTCCACGAATAAAAGCTTCAGGGAAGGCTTCCAGGTATAGGCGCTAGTGCTAAACCTTGCCACCAATAGGAGGGTAGTTTGCCATTTTGAATTTCTAGGCTAAATAACTTACCGTTTGTCCACAGCGTATTTGATATGCGAGCTGGCCACCCAGAACACCACTTCAAATACGATAGATTACAAGTTCCGCGCTCGTAGTCTAAAAAGAGATCTAACTCTAAAGACACCATATATCAAGGTGAAAAGGCAAAACTACATTGTAATTTACTGTACTATGGTCAATTATAATTCTAAAACTCTCCTAGCTACCTGGTCTCGCTATATTTATATACTAGGTCTAAAAGCTAAGTGTTAATAGGTTGGGTTGTCGATGTATAGAATTAAATCTCGGATTTAAGGTGGTGTTTTGGGGTGGCCAGCTCACATCTCAAATACGTTGTATGTCCTACATTCCTATTAAATTTCCCTAATAAGACAAAAATGGGTTACTGCAACTTACCCGGTCAGCTGATTTTGTTTATGGCGTCGGCTCGAGAATAGGGTTCCATCGAGGGCTATCTATAGAGAGAGTAGCTTATCCAAAAATACCTCATTCTTCTGTGATGCCTGAAAAACAACAAGCGGACAGTAGCTGCTCAATTAAGCGGCTACCGTTACATGTACATTTCTTTATAGACATTGGCAGACCTAGGCCTTGCAATTTCTCGAAAGAGTTTCTCGGATTTTACTCCCATTTCTCACCACTCCCACGGGGCTCCCACGGGCCAATTGGGAGTCCAATATAGTCCCGCATTAGCATAATTTTGCTAAGAAAAAGCCCAAAACGGATGCCATTGCCGAGTCTACTTGTGCCAAGGAATTTCCATGTTTATCAATTAGGCCATTACTTCTTAGAAATCAAACCTTACCTCCTGATACGCTGATCAGCCAATTTTGTGACCAAACGGTATGAATTAAGGTGCGTATATAAAAATGCAAAAAATAAGCCTTCTTCTATACAACAGGGTTAAGAAATGTGTATGTGTATATAATGTCACTGATGAAGTATTGTACAAGCTACAAGAAAGCCTTAAACCGAGTATACCGTTTCATGCATTGTTTTTGTCCTACTTGGCCCCTCTTTTTTCACCTCTTTTTTCACCCATTTTCGACTGCCTCAGGTTGGAGAAATTTAAACATGACGGGTTAGTCATGTAGATCATATGAAGGTTAACGTGTGAAAGGAGTTATGGCCTATGACTATAGGCACTTTCTTATGAATACCATCTATAGCCCCCACTGTATACGCTGCTACACAATATCTAGTAGAATATCCTACTAGCGATCTAGAGTTTCTCTAAGACATATAATATAGCCTATTGATAATTCATTGCCAGTGCTTCCTTAACGTTAATAACTTAACGCCATATGCTATTACGTCGGTAAACCCCTAGCTTTACATACTGGTAGACATAAAAATTCATCACACGATAAATATCAATTTTATCTAACCTTATCTAACCTCAGCCTTCGTTGGCTATCTGAACTCGAAGCACGATCATTTAAAAGAAGTCGTCTCCTGTGGGGCGTAGTGGTGATGGACCCACAGGCACTATCGATAAGCCTCTTTATTTTGTCACCTCTTCTTTAATAGCGTCCCACGTCTTACCGCACAGGAGCGTAAAAATCATCGGCATTCTATTCTACTACAGTCCAATGGCGACCGAAGCAGGTATGTCTGGCCTCAAGCCAGACTTTGAAGCCTCTACTCCGCCAGGGGGCGAAGATAGCTCACAAGGGGCCCTCGCCTTCCACCCGAGCCACATTACCCTGTCAACCTTCAACCGTCTACTAGCGTGCTACGCGAGTACTGTGGAGCAAGTGCATCGAAGCAAATTGATTCAGAAGCTACAGTCAAAGCAAAAGTCAAAGCCAAAGCGCAAGTCAGCCGAGACTTCAACAGACGCGCAGGACACAACACCAACACAGAGAACAGAGCTCACTCCCGCTGAGGAGAAGCATATCCAAGATGACCTGGATACATTCCTCAAACTCGATCGCTGGAGATATGAAACCCTGCCAAAGAATCTTGCCAAGCGAAAAGGTGACGAGGCACATCTTACTAAAGATGAATTGGTTGATATCATGACGTGGAAGACGTGAGTATTCAACTACTACACACAGACCATACCATACCATCCCTTCGCATTATCAACTCCATTTCAAACTAAACTAATATCATATATCAGCTCCCACGGTCGCCCCCGCCCAATGCTAATAGGAATGATAAAAGCAAACCAACCAAGCACAATAACAAAAGCAACATCCGAAGCTTTTACTTCTATCCCAGTCTCGGATCCAATTAAGAAACCCGAAGAGTCATTCCCAAAACTCAGCCTGGACACATTGACGACCTCGCTGCGTGGTGTTGGTCCCGCGACTGCATCGCTCATTTTGTCGATTGCTACTGTTGTTGGTGAACCCATGCGCCAGGTTCCATTTTATAGTGACGATACGTATTTGTGGCTTATTTTTGGGGTTTATCCTATTCCTGGGGAGGGGCAGGTGAAGGTGAAGGGGGTTAAGGCGAACGGGGAGTTGGATGTCAAATATAACTTGAAGGAGTTTCGGGGTTTGTGGGAAGAGGTGCAGATATTGAGGAGGAGGTTGACTGGGGGTGATTTGGGGTCTGTTTCTACGGTTGATGTTGAGAAGGTTGCTTATGTGCTTCGCCATATTGCTGTTTCTGGTTATTACTCTGACCAACATCATGAAGTTCGCGAGGCCACTGTTGTGGAGTCGACGGAGATATCTGGGGGGGAGACTAAAAAACGGAAAGTGAAGGAGGGGAAGACGAGGAGTGCGAAGAAGTAGGATAAGAGAAGGACAAGGATGAAGAAGAGGACAAGAAAGGAAATGAAGAACGAGAATGGAGATAGGCGCAACAAAGACCAGCCAGCCCGACTATCAGGGTAAAAGAAGAACCTATATTATCAAACCGACGAACAGAAGTGATAAGTCTTGCCCCGTTTGGCCCAACTGTATACAGTCGTAATGTACCAGAGGAAAAGTCTGATGAAATCGTCTGATGAAGGGTATCCATTATGCAGCTGAAATGAGTACATCTGTCGTTCGGGCCGTGGAAGGTGATCAATACTTTATTTATATTGTAGCGATTGGTGTATAGCACGTGAGTCCAGGGCGAAAGCATTATCCCAGACGCGGTATGCATAGCATTTCAGTAGGTAGTTGTATTGCCCGTCCACCAATGACACCAAGAGGCCTAGGTCTCTTTTTTTTGGCATTTTGGTGCTTTGTTGAGGTTATTCACGTCGTGGTCCGGTCTTGCGAGTGCCTTTACGTGTGCCTCGGCGTTCAGGCTTCACTCGAAGACATAAGTTAAGCATGAAACAGTCTCATCGTCAATCCTCTCGGGTATGCACCTCATCTTCGCCATACCCAGCCCATTTCCCATCTTGGTAAATATAAATCTTGTCTACATCTTACTTCCCTAGTCAACAATCTCACATCATTGCATTAAGCTCGAGTATCATTACAAAAGCACGCCCAATCCCACTCCAACAAAACAACCCCAAATCAAACCCCATTCCCTAGTCGTATACCCAACCGCACCCCCTTCACTCGGTGTCATGCTAGCTTCCAAGCCGCTATATGATTTGGCTGGATATCCCTTCTTGATCCCTGAATCATCATCATCGTCGTCGTCATCTTCTACATCCACTTTGGTGGCATTACCATCTGTCTGTGTATATCCAGATGGATTGGCTGCTGACATTGATATTGACGTTGACGCTGGCATAGAATGGAGGCATTCTTTCAAGGCGCTGTTATTCCGCGAAGTTGTTAGTTATCTCCCGTGTTTGGAGTTTAATTTGCGGTGTAAATTACTTGTCCGCAGCACAATTAGTGCTTACTGCAATATCAGCCGAGGTTGCTGTCCCATCTGTCGTTTCGGCGGTTGTGAATGTGCTTAATGCTAAGAGGAGGGGGAGGGTTGATATTATGAGACGCATTTTGGGTATGGATTGATTGAGATTGCCGTTTGTGGGGGTAAAGTAGGGCTAAAGGAATATCAAGGAGAATTGTGACAATCTAGGTTGAACAAATTTGAGCTAAATAACAGCGGATGTCTATCCAGACATGGGAAATTAGTCATAATGTACTAAAGGATACAACATATCAACCAGAGACAAAACATTCTTCTACTGCAATTCCCATAATCAACTTCTGTGTGTGCATGCTCTAACTGTACTCATCTAAGATCGAGATCCTTTCAGGCAACTGGAACCATAATCCCTGGAGATTCAATCCATGTGGAAATGTCATACCCGGGGCCAGCAGATTAACTCTAATATTCCCAGATGAAAATGTGAGATGTAGAGATAGATAGCTAAACTCAATTCCAGACCATGGCATTTTTTTGGTTGTTGCTCAGGGTGTGGCATTCCATTGTACATTCTTAGGGCTGTCCTTGCTCTGGGTGTCGTACTTGGCCCGCCAATAGGGAGGTTTCAGGTTTGTTGATAGGGTTGAATTGGGCGGTTACCTGCAGATTGACTTATACAGCACAGCATGGATCGAAATCAGTTTCACCATTTACTCACAGAGATTCTTTCTCGAACCCTCTTTCGAAACACGCTAAACCTATTACGGCTACTTTGCACCTGAACCCCTTTCTTGGCAGTATTCTACTGGTGACGCGCGCTTCGCACGCTAATACCCTGAAACGATCAAAAAGGAAAGGCAGGTACAAGAGGTTAAAGTCATATTGGTTTGCTTGACTGGTACTTGGAAGACAAGGGAACATTGACCAATGAGAAGGTAGAAATCATCTGACTAATAACCGCTACATCTTGGAAAATAAGGGAAACTAGATATGTTAGTCAACTATCGTATTTTGACTATGCAAGTATATCGGCGTATGATGTTTTTCGTGGTCTTTGGTCTTTGAGAACGCCTCTCTGCAGGTGATGTGGTAGCCTGTGGCGAGATTTTCGCTTCGTTGGCAGTATCTGGCCACGTAATTTGCGTGGCCTCCTCATCGTGACCACTAGGTGCAATTATTTTAGGAGATTCCTGGAACCGGTGTGGGATAGGAAGGGAATACACGTTTTTGAACTAACTAAGAACTGTCACGCTCAGAATCAATGTGTAAGAGGTTCTTCTTGGTAGTAAGTCTGTCTAAGAACTCTAATTCTAATGAGTAATGTATACTGGGGCACTTTCTATTGTATTCTATACTTATCCACCACCAGATCGCTCCTGCTCCGACGCAAGGAACCCTAACCAACTATCCGTCTGCAATAGCAAACCTAAACCCTGTCCGCCCTTTAAATATCACGAAAAATGTTGCATATTAAAGGCGTCTCGTAGGTCCCAGATTCTACCTATGCGTGGTACCGACGATAAACCTCCCTGCTCCCCGGCGTATCCCACAAGTATCCACCGTCTAGAAGAGGGATTCTAAGGTCGGAGATGCTTAGCATCCCTGTGTTATAGAGAAGGTTCGCTTTGAACAGAGCTAGCGCTAGTCGATTAGTCTCTTCTACCTATGTCCACGAGAATAGTAGCGATTTATTTGGCGTCAGCTGTGCACGGATGCGGCCGTAGCAGAATAAGCCACCGGCGATACAAGTTGTCGTTAGTGCGCGGACTATCGATGAGCAACGGTTCTGCAGATCTGGAGGGGCCTCTCTCATCGGTGCGAATATCACGTTCAGAAGGACGGCTTGGAATGTCGACATCGGCCATGATGTATCCTTGAAGTCTTTCTGCGACTTCCAGTCTCCCTGCGCATGTGAGAATAGTTACGAAGGCCGATGGACCGAGAAAGATTCAGGGAGCTCACCATGCGACTCTCTAACAATGTCACTAATTTCTCATGCATATTCTTCGCTCTTGTCCGCGCAGCCCTCCCGCCAGTAACCCATAGCCCGATCATAGCAAAGCTTAAGATCAGAACATGTGGTTGCGAGTCTTTACTTAGGTGGAAGGAGGGCTTGTGAATGATCGGCCATTGAGAA